TGAACCGCTTTGCAGCTCATTTTTGCACCCTTTCAGAGTCAAGGGGAGTTTTGGATGCTCAGCATCTCTGCAGAAACAGGCCCAGAGTCTCTGAAACCAAATTCCTCAAGGAAAAAAAAAAAAAAGAAAAAATCACAGTCTCCTCCTGAAAAACTGGTTCAAGATCACATCAGTGAGTCAGAAGCAAAGCTAGAAATAGCACTAGAGCTCCGACCTGCAGGCACAAATCCCATTAAAAGCTATAGGGGAATGATTTCTCTGTGCAGAGGAGGAACCTGGACCCTTCTGCTTCATGCAGCCTGATGGATTGCTTCCATCCATGGCCCCCACAGACCTTTTTTGCCCTGAACCAAACATCTGAGTGCTTATCTGGGTGTTTTCTCTATTTCCCAAACATGGTGCCAAGGGCAGCCCAGAGACAGTCTCCCACCAGGGCTCCTTTTTCCCCAGGAACATCAGCCTGGGTCAGCGCAAGAGGTACAAGATCTGTCCTAAGGAAGGGACCGGCCGTGCTGGCCCCTGCCACGGGGACAGATGCCAGCTCACATCGGCGATGACAGGAGGAGCATGGCCTCTTGCTCTTTGTCCCTCTTCATCCATGCGATGAGGCTCTGGGGCTTCCCAAGGCAGCCAGGAGCCCCCAGCTTGGTGAGTGGGTTTGGATGTGCCCCATCCTGCTCACGGACACACTCTCCCCTCCCACCTGGCCTTGGGAAGCCCACAGGGACACCGTGCCCAAAACAGCACCTCTCCCAAAAACCCCATGATCTTCCTCCTCGCTGAACCACAACGGCATTCATGTTCCCAAGATGCACCCAATACTTTGGCAAACGCTCCCCCCAGTCATCTGAAGCCCACGGGCATTAAACTTTGCAAAGTCTTGCTGAGCGCCAGCATCCTCCCAAAAACCCTGCAGCAACCTGCCCTCCGCCTTGGTTCTTTCCTACACACTAGGGATGGGATCACCCAGTGCAGGGGCACCCATGGGTGGGGCGGGCAGAATCCCAGCACATCAGGCAGCTTCCCCCATGCAAGGTCACATCCCCACGGACCCACCATGAACCAGATTGATGGAAGCCGGCTGACCACCCTAGGAATTGCACCTGAGCCGGTGGCTCACGCCAGCCCCATCCCATTCAACAGGATGAGCTTCAGAAGCAGAGATTTATTGCTTTCAGTTGCATTGCTTCTTTTTGTGGGTGTTTAAGTTGTTAACAGGCTCCCATTTCAGAGCTGCTGCAGCAGAGAGGGAGGAGAGGGCTCCTAATATAACGAGATGTAATTAAAGACAGGCTGGGGGCCCCATGCTGCATGGTGCTGAGCACCTTTGAGACCCAACGCATTGATGCTGCTGGTCCTCTGCACCAAGCAGAAGCCAAGACTCTCGTGCACTAACCATGGACCCTTGGTATTAATTATAGCCAGGCCTGAATCAATCAATCAATAACATAAAAATGAGGAGTGATTCCACCTGGCTGAGTGGAGCCACATCAGCACAAGAGACGGATCCAGCCCTAAAGCAGCATTTTGAACCATTGCTGTAGAATACGCTAGCACCGTTTATTTTATTGTTATTAGTATGGTTTTCCTCTCTGAGCTCAGGAAGGCTTTGGTTGACCTCCCTCGCAATGGGGTTCCCTCCGTGTGCCCACAATTCACCGCAGCAGTACAGCACTGACCATGCCCCAATTCAGCCCAAATTCACCCCAACTCAACAGGCTGCTAAACCCCATCCCGTACCCCAGGGAGGCTTTGCTTGACCATAATCTTGGAAGAGGTTTGTGTCCCTCTCCCCCGACCTGGCAAAGGAATGGGGTGCCCATCCCCAGGGATTGTCAGCAATGGGGGGAAAACACAAGGAAATCCAGATGAGGATGGGGAAAGCAGATGAGATCCCCCTGGACCGACAGCTCCCACCTATCCCCAAATAACACCAGGGATGAAGAAGAAGCAGAGACAACCCTGAGGTCTCTACACCTCGACTCACCCCTCCTAAAAACCCTGGAAGAAGTCAAAGCAAAAGCTCGGAGGCCTCAGCACGTGCCCTCTCCACCATAAGGACATAAACCACCAGCCCTGAGGCTCTACATGGTTGAAAAGGAGTTTTCCAGCCCAAAACACACCCTGCCCTGGTGATCCCATGGGTGCCCCGGGGCAGGCCATCCTGCTCCAGCCCATGTCCCGTCATCCCGACACCCCTGAGCCGGGAAGCCCCCGATGCCCCGAGCGCTCACGTTTGCTGAGGATTTGGCCCTATAGTCGCTCTCTAAATATCTATACACACACACACGATAATTGTATGGGAAATGGCTGAAAATTGCTGAACAGACAAGTCAGGAGAGCCAGTACCTGCTATTCCACCTGCTCCTCATGCCCTCTCTGATCCACTGTGGTTTCTGCTCATGACACCAAGATTAATGACTAATTACTCGCCCTATAATGAGTGCAGGTGTTTAACTTTCAGCTCACCTTCCCTCACTTGCCTTAGTTGGCTCTTGCATCTGGATGCTCGGACACTCAGGCTTTGCCTTGTTATCTATCAAACTGTTGTCAGCACATGCCTTCCCCATCCAGTTTTTAAGTATAATGGAGATTTTTTTAACTTCCATGAATCTCCTTCGAGCCACCGGAGAATCTATAAACACTATAAACATGAATATTGTATAGTCTACTAAGAAAATATATATTTGTGTGTGTATTAAATATTCAGATTCATGCAACGAATATCCATGCAGCTGTACTGTATTACTGGTTAAATTTCACTGCAGTATAAATATATTATAGGCCACAGCATAGTTGCTCCAGTTGTCTATATAGATATAAAAAAAGATGCTTTTTCCAACTCATTTGCAATGTGTCAGTGGAGGTGTCTTTGGTGATCCTGGAAATATTGGTGATGGAAGTGTCATCTAAATAAATAAATAAAATCCAAGCGCTTGATTTATTTACTCGTCCCTCCTGATGCCTAGCATAGAAAATTTAAGACTTAATAAATAATGTGCCGTCATACTAATTATCCCTCCCCTGGCCCTCACACTGGCATACTGCAGTGGCTGAAACTATTGCAGCATGCAGCATTTTCAGTTATGAAACATGAGCCTGGGTGATGCGTTCGCACTTGGCATTCCCGGGCCGGAAACCCGAGCCTTCAAGCAATTTGGACACACGACTGCATCTTCCCTTCGTTAAGCTCTGCCTGACCTTTCCCAGCCGTTCCCCATGCCTGGAAGCTGGCTGTCACCCAGCTGCGCGGGACAGGGACCGGCGTTCGTGGTACCCCGGGATAGTCCGGAGCTGCCCCCTGCATCCCCATCCCGGTGCTCGAAATGCCCAACTGCTCCGTATCTTTGGAAACCCTCAAGCCTGGGATGGGAGAAGGGAAACAAAATGGTTTGTTTTGGTGGTGGTTTTTTTTTTTTTTTTTGCACGAACGCTTATCGGTGTGGAAATCAAAGGTTAAAAGTCACTTACACAGCTATTGCTTCCCATGCAGAACCAAATATACACCGTAGAAAATACTGTATTAACTACAATGCAGAGCAGCACTCAATATCTGCAATTGTTCCACTTCAGCTTTAAATACATTACTAGATTTTAGCGACTAGACATCGGTTAGCATTTTGGTGATATTCACATAGTTTGTGTTAGCTAGGGTGCAATTGGCTGTCTTCAAGTTCTCCTCCCTAAAATCCTCATTGCTATTGTTTACGCCTTCCTGAATCTCCATATAATCAGACTTACTAATAGTAGAGGCACTTCTGCTTTTCTTTAGGTCAGGGGAAGAGGGGATCTTTGGGCAGCTGGTTACTTGCAAATATTGAGCCTGCTCCTCCCCCTCCGTCTCCCGGTGGTAGAAGTAATTGAAGTTAGACACTATGACGGGCACTGGTAAGGCAATCGTTAATACGCCAGCGATGGCACACAAGGAACCCACTATTTTTCCCCCGATGGTCGTGGGGACCATGTCTCCGTAGCCAACAGTCGTCATGGAAACCACGGCCCACCAGAAGGCATCGGGGATGCTCGGGAACTGGGACTCGCTCTCGTCGGCCTCAGCAAAGTAGACGGCGCTGGAGAAGAGGATGACGCCGATGAAGAGGAAAAATATCAAGAGGCCCAGCTCCCGCATGCTGGCCTTGAGAGTCTGCCCCAGGATCTGCAGCCCCTTGGAGTGTCGGGAGAGTTTGAAGATCCTGAAGACCCTCACCAAGCGGATGACTCTGAGGATGGCCAAGGACATGGCTTGCTGGCCTTGCTGACCATCCTCCGGCTTCTCGGCCAGCTCCGTCCCTAAGGTGATGAAATAGGGAATGATGGCTACAATGTCTATAATGTTCATGATGTTGGTAAAAAACCCAGCCTTGCTGGGGCAGGCGAAAAATCTCACCAAGAACTCGAAGGAGAACCAGATGATGCAAAGTGTCTCCACGATGAAGAAGGGGTCTGTAAAAGAGGTGGACTGCTGGTACCCCATGCTGCTGTTGGAGTAGGGGGGATGGCTCAGCCCGCTGCCGTGCATGTCTTCATTCTCATCCCGAAAAATGGGCAATGTTTCCAGGCAAAAGCTGACGATGGAGATTAAAATCACCATGACGGAGACAATAGCTATAATCCTGGCAGGGCCTGAGCTCTCGGGGTACTCAAAGAGCAACCACACTTGTCTCTGAAACTCGTTCTCGGGCAACGGTCTTTCCTCTTCTTTGATGTAGCCTTCATCCTCCCGAAACATCTCCATCGCTTCTTCCCCCAGTTCATAGAAACGAATCTCTTCCGAGAAGATATCTAAGGGCACGTTAACCGGCCTCCGCAACCTCCCACCAGACTGGTAATAGTACAAAATCGCATCGAAGCTGGGTCTGTTCCGGTCAAAGAAATACTCATTCCGGAGTGGGTCGAAATATCTCATTCTCTTTTTAGGATCCCCTAGTAAGGTCTCTGGAAACTGGGCTAGCGTCTTGAGCTGTGTCTCAAAGCGCAGACCTGAAATATTAATGACCACCCTCTCGCAGCATTCATGGTCGGTCTCAGGGTTATACGTGTCCTGCGGGTGACCGGGAAGAGCTGCAGCTTCGTCTGCAGGATCTCCGGTAGCAACTGTCATATTGGGGTTTAAAAGAAATCCTTATGCTAAACTCTTCCCAGCGCCCGGTGGTGGGATCGGATTCAGGGCAGGGCTACTATCCTGCAGAAGGACAGGTACGTAGGTTTGGAAGTGTCTCATGAAAAGGCGAAGGGATGATAAAAAAAGGAGAGAAAATAAAAAAAAGAGGAAAGAAAATCGCCCCTGCTGAGAAAGAGAGAGATGAAATAAAGTTGGGGGGAGGAGAGCAGCTCCCTTCACTAGCATGTCTATCCCCTTCCTCAGGGGGGTTAATTCGCCTGCTTTGGGACAGAGTTCAAAAACTCCCAGCTAAACCCATTAGGTGGAAGAGAGAAAACACCTGAGGAACCGTCACGTATTCAGAAGCAGCGTGGAAAAAACTGGCATTGGCAAAGCAGAACTTTTTTTGGCTAAAACCCAAAATTCCAATTTAAAAAAAAAAAAAAAAAAACACAAAAAGGAGGGGGGGAGGGAAGAGAAAGGAAGGAAGAAAAATAACCCCATCCAGCCCTAAAGTGGCGACGGGACCCCACGGGGCGCCGGGGAGAGGCAGACCAGGCTCAGCTCATTTCCAGGCATGCAGCTAAGGGTTAACATTTAACCGTGCAATCTCAGGCAATATACCCTCTAGGAAAGCTCTAACTCCGCTTTTAAGTTTTTAAGTTCGACGCCTTCCCAATCCTCTTGCCCTGGCCATAAAGCGGCGAGGCGACATGCTGCCCTCCCTGCCTGCAGCCAACCGGGCAAGCTTTGCGGCTGCCTGAATTTGCAGCCGCCGATGCAAGCTGCCCCGCGGACCACTGCAGTCCCCCTCCTCGACCGCTGGTGTCCCGGCTCCTGTCATTCTCTGCAAACCACCATGGCACACAGAAAACAAATCACATTACCTGGAGAAGCCAAATCTTAGTGTCTCTTAGTAACACCGATTATCTGACCCTGGGGAAATCCTAGAGAGAAATACAGGCTTCCAAGATCCCCATAATTTCCTCTCTCTTCAAAGTTAAAAATAATGGTGAGTCATCGTAGAAAAAGGAGAAGGGACATAAAAGGGGTTAGCTTCCCAGATGGTGGAAGTCAGGTCTTGTAATGGTTTGGACTGGAGAGAGAGAGAAAGAGAGACAGAGAGACAGAGAGACAGAGTCTTCCCGGTAGCTGTTGCAGATCTGCACTTCAGGGCAGATGAGCGTCTGTCTGATGCCTTCGGTACGACGGTGAAAAGATGCTAAGCTCAGCAAAACCCGACGTCCCCAGTGTCCTCGGGAGGTGTGGCATTGCCTGGAAAAAACACCAAGAAGGTAGCAAGCTGCTGGGGGCTTGCAAGGAGCATCTGCAAAGCCCCAGCTCCTCCAGGCACCCTTTTTTTCCTCCCTGCGAGCTGTTTGCCCGCTGCCTGGCCAACCTGCACTGCAACACGAGAGGAGGGCGAGAGCGCGCTAGCGGCAAGGCGGAAAAAACCA